GGGTCATCCTCAATTTTGGCCAAAATTTGTTACATTCCAATGGCAGAACTTTTGAAAAGACCGTCAATGATAATATCTAATAGCAGCTCATCAGTAGAAGCTGCAACAATAACTTATTTATTTTTTTGCAATTAGTTGTCAAGTCCAATATGTATGTATGTACTTCCCAGGAGCAACCGTACGCAAAACACATTAAACCGGCAAACTGGAAGGAACATCCATATTTCAAGATTTTTAAGACATTCATAGAGACGCCAGCAATACATCGGTTTTAGGTTACCTTTACGACATTCATCGTACTTGGAGGTCGTTCACCGCCTATAACAGAAACATTTCTGTCACAATTGAGATCGAGCAACGGTCTTAATGCCTAAAGTTACCGCATAAACCGTGCCGTCTCTAATAAAGGGGTCTACATAATACACAACACATATACAACTTTCTAGTCAACCCTTCCCCCTCCGGGACACCTTGATTATCTTCCTCATCCTGGTGTTATCGCAATCCGGGGCAAAAGAGGTTGCCGGGTCTATAAACTGATGTGGATCAAATGTATCCTCGGTCTTTCCTTGGAATGATTTAATATGTGGTCAAACCAGAGAATGACATAATCTGGTACCATGGAAACCGGTAGCCCACTTGGCAGAGTTTCGGACTTTTTCCTGTCCCGTTTATTGAAGAGGTCCCTTCGGGGTGCACATTGAGGATGTGGTTTAACCCAAATTCGCGAGAAGAGAATGTTGGTTAAAAGACTGATACACGGTAATGTCTATAATTCGGGATAAGTTCGTTGTTGTTGCCGAATCAACAGATACCCCACAGATGAGTGATTGTGGGACTATGAGTTGGAAATGAGTTGGTGTCAAGTGTATATGATATGGGATAGATGTAGGGGTATGCGGGCCTCATCCATCCGTATACCTAGAGTGAAGGTGTCGGAATGAATGAGAAGTGTGCTGGGTTGAATGGTGGTATATGTATGATACCTCACACCTTATTTGATGGATTCATATTTTAGTCTACCGATTACGTCTTTAGGTGCTGTTGCCGAATTAACAGAGGCCATGCCATTTGTGTGGTTGTAAATGGAAGTGATGTTTTTGCATTTCGGAAGTTAAGCAACGTGGCAGCAATGGTCTGAGATTTGAAAGCTCAAGTACAAGAAATGCAGAACCATGTACAAAAATTGCCACCGGTGTGTAAGATGTACAAAGGGGCGGTGGAGAGTAGTCTGATCCTATGCTTTTAAAAGTACCACCGTGAAATAAGGCCAATAGGCTGGTGTTAACGTAAAGCACTTTGATTTCTTGTCCATCCTATCCTACTTCACTTTGTCCAATGTATTTATGGACATTTAAAAATCTATGTCAAATGATTCTCTCCAAAGTTTTCTGTTGGAAGCACGATGTATTAAATTGTAAAATATTCTCGTTCCGATATCATCGGGATCACTCGGAACTTTTTAGTGGGTCGAACAATGTTTCTAAAGCTTTGTCGACATCAAATTTCTTTTCGATTACTAATTCTAACGTCTTTTGAACTTAAAATATTGAAATGGATAATCGATAAGATGTTTAAAAGCAGATTACCGGACAAAGTCCTGAAATGCCTGTAATATCAACCCAACAGAAATGAAGGCACGTTGGTATAGTAAGGACCATAATATCAATAACAATTTAATTTCTGTATGAAAACTGTCAATATGTCGTTACGATAACAAAATAATAAGACATTGAGAAAAGGTGCGGTAAATAAATAATAGTTTTTCGTCATTAGTTCAATAAATATGTACTAAAGATACATAAATAAAATATAAAATTTATAAAGAAATATAATTTATTAACCAATTGGTTTCCTTTTTGAAGTGATTACTGATGTTTAAAATTTAGATTCGATTTTGGTTTAGCTTAATAGTTTGACTATTTTATTACTTTTAAGGATTCTAGTTTAAACTAAATGATAGCAAATTGACTCTATTGCTAACTTTATAAATTATCTAATATATTTTTTATATACAAATTTCAAATATACAAGTATGTATTCCATTTCCCTATAAATATGTACCCAATGTTTTATTTATCATAATTTCTTCTTTATGGCATTTTAACCAATACTTTCATGCGATGAATTTTCCATGTGCTTTTTTATTTTACTACTACATTTGTTGTTTTTTTTTTTTATTTTACGTTACGATTTGTGTATTGCGCAGTACTTTTTCGTATATGACTATATGTACGTGTATCCTTATTTCCTCCTTTTTACAGTTCTCTAACAAAAAGCACATGTTTTAAACGAAAAAGAAATAAAAATCATTTGTGGAAGAAAAAAGAAGTTTTAATTATTTAATGTGTATTTCTTAAATAAAAAGGTTGTAGTGATTGTCATATAATTTATTAGTGTAATTTGTTTTAATATTTCAAATCATTAGTTATATGCTTTTAAAATATATTTGTGGTTGTGGTTATTAGGATTTTAATTTAAATTTGGACAATTATCTCTGTCATTTAAACTAATAAAATACCTTTTGACAGCTTTAAAGTTAATTTTTTATATATCACAAATAGTTAAACCAGAGTCAATGATACCAGTGAAAATTGGTAATGGTGAAATAGAAAATGAAATATTTTTTGTCAGAAAATTGTATCAAAATTAAAGCAAAAAGTTTAAACTTTAATGTATTAAAGGTGTAATAAAATGTAAACAATTATTTGCTACTAAAACAATAACACTTACTCCAATATATCGATTATTTGTTCCTTGATTTAAAAATCCATCTTTTTTATGCAATCAATATTTTACTTTAACTAATCAAGTGTCATTCTCATAATTATACAGACCAAGAAATTTATAACCCAGAGACCAAAGTCTGCTTTTCTAAAGGATTGAGCTGCTCTGAATCTAAATCTACCCATCATATCAGGTTTTCGAGATATCGTGTGCAAAAGTTTGAAAAACGCTTATGTCAAATGAAAGTCCTTATTTCTTCTTCACGATGTCTTAACTTAAAACATTGGTCTCTGGTATTTATGTCGACTTTGAATCAATTTACGTTGAATTGATTCAATTGATTGAGATATAAATTTAAAATCTTTTGGTGAGACGAAAGTTAATTCAATGTTTTTTAGCTTTCTTTCAAAGATTTTGTCATAAGTTTAAGCGGTCGCAATAAAAACTCCAAATAAAACTGAACCTGTACTATTCAATAGGAAATATTAGAACGATACTTACATACAGCCTCGGTTTAATGGCCCAAAACTCTTACTCTAGGATGGTGGGTTATACTTGGGTTTTGCTTTTCTTATAGCAAACTATACTGGAAACATAAAACCATGACAAAAACAACTGAGGACATAAGAGTATAGTAGTATAGCTAAAGTGAGCAAATAGTCACTTTAGAGGAGACATTCATGGTTCCATTAAATTGGTTCATTTTGTGATATCTAAAAAGATTGTATAAGTACATTACTCCTAAAATGTTGTAAATTTTACAAGGCAGTTATTCGCTCAACTGCTGCCCACTTCTGCTAGTGAAGCTTTGGCAGAGACCTGGAATAAACAGTTCCAGTTTGAAATGTTTCAATACCTCTAGAAGGGGAATAAAACCTAATCTACCAAACTTTTTTTATGTAGTCACCTTTTGGTAGAAAGTGATTTTATATTAGTAGTAGGGGTCGGAAGAACATTTATAATTCAAAATTAATTCTCTCCCTTTCTAGCTAAAATATAGGCCATACGAGAAATCTTAAATTGGCGCCGGTATTAAAGAATATCAAATTGGAATATTATAATATTCGCCGCAAGTCAAGTTGCAATCAAAGACCTGGCTTCTGCTTATACAATTTATCAAGATTGTTCTAGAAATGTTGGAAATGTCTGGGGGCTTCTACATCAATGTCCAGGGTCTAAAAATTGTGCTACTTTCGTTCAAAGCTGCCGTAGCTTTTGATTGCAACGCTGCGGCCTGCGAAAGGTCCTATCACTTGAAGAGATCTTTCAAGAATTTGTCTTCGTCATCTTGAACAGAAAGACAAGAGACCTCAACGTTCAGTTCCTGGGTTTCTTCTTCGTTCTGCCTATATTGTTAATAGCTCGTGGAATGGTGCTTTGCGAACACCTGCGGACGGTCTTCTAGTATCTTCTTTGGATTCCATTAGCCTCTTGTGGGGGATGTTATAATAGCAGTCTGTCTGTTACCCAGCTCATTGTCAGACAACTGAGATAATTTTCCCAACTTCTGTGTGGTACCGGCATCTCCAAAAGGGTCACTTAACAGCTTTAGAAGGCCTGCCACGTTTAAGTCGGTCAGTACCTTAATTGCTTAGCATGCTTAACAATTCTTGAATGAAGGTCAGTAAGGGTAACGTCTTCGTACCACTTACTGTCCAACTCTCCCAACATTCTCCTCCCTGACCGTGACATCCGGATTGCTCTAACTATCAGGTCAACCACCTCCTCCGTCATGTCCCTTTTATCATTCAACTCCCCAACATGTTTGTTTTTGCGTTTTGATAATAAATTCTCACTTACTCTGTTAATATCCGAATTTAGCTAATATCAGGGATTATATATTTGATTGTCAACTTAGCGTCAGCTTACCAACCGAAAGATTTTTCCGCCAGAAAAACAGTCGAACTGTTGCAAATAGCAACAAATGTTCTGTTATATAGATAACCAAAAATTCTCACCTTTGTGTTTCCCGAAAGGGATCATAAATTGGCCCACTACTAAGTACAGCTATGTACCTATGTTCAATCTTATAACGAAACAAGCTGTAATGTGAATAAACATATAAATCTTGCGACTATGAGCCAAGATTGCCCAGACAGTGAAAGTTTTCTTTATTTTTCTCTTCATCCTCGTTGCTGTAGCTTCTATAGAAGTCATTCAAGGAAATCCAAGGGGAGATATCAGTATTTTTTGTAAAATATTAATATACTTTTACATTAAGTTAATTTTTAAAATTTACTAAAAAGATTGTTTATTTCTTCATATCTTTACAGCTAAATGGAGGCATCTGATGGATCGCCGCCACCATCATTGTGTATGATACGAGCTGCGGAACTATTTCCTAAACCACAAATGGAGAAAGAAGATTTACAACTAAAAGTCCCATTTCAGGAACGTAAGTATTAAAGTGATACTTAAAGGTTTGGGGGCCAAATTGCGACATTCGATAACGATCAAAATTTCAATAGAATAGAAGATTTTGAACAATTAGGCTCCTTTTCATGTTGATAACTCGATTGTTTGTTTACGTATTATTAAGTATTAATTTCCTCATATTCAAAATTACTTTTATTTTCTATTAATTTCCCAGTTGCTGGCGAGTCTGTCAAGTATTTGGGGCGTACCGATGATGGCGTATTGGCCTTATCAAATTATCGCATATTTTTACAAAAATCATCTACAAATGTTGAAACGTCCATACCACTGGGCCTAATTGAATCGGCTCAATGCAGAGATTTGTTTCATTTAATAATTTGCTGTAAAGACGCCAGCACTGTTAAGTGTTCATTTGAAACAGCCGAACAGTGTACAGAATGGCAAAGGCGCATACAATTATCAGTGGGTGTTCCCGAAACACTGGAATCTATATTTGCCTTTCCCTTCTGCTCGTGGGCATGTGATAGTTTAAACAATGGTCAAACGGGACAAGGGAGTCAAACAAATGGTGTTGCCGCTACGGCAGAGAATGGACAAAATCCAACGTCTTACTCGGTAACAGATTATGGAGAGAGATTACAGAAAATGTCTTCACGTTATGAAGATGATTTTATGCGTGAAGTAGAACGTTTGGGTTTCGATCTAAATGGTTCGTGGCGTATATCACAAGCCAATGAAGACTTTAAATTATGTCCCTCATATCCTCCGAAGCTTTTAGTACCCTGTTGCATTTCCGATGAGACCTTACAGAATGTAGCAAATTTTCGAGGTTCTCGACGTTTGCCGGCTGTTGTTTGGCGTCATCGAAAATCTGGCGCTGTTATAGCCAGATGCAGTCAACCCGAAGTTGGCTGGCTGGGTTGGCGTAATACCAAAGATGAACAATTATTAAAGGCATTGGCCGATGCCTGTGCTTTTGATCGTGGCGAACAAATGCGTCAATTGACAAACACTTCACAGTCTGCACAAAGTGTTCAAATGCCATCGGCTGATAGTTCACCCTCCAGTCCAGATGGTAGCCATGAAGAAGTGGCTCTCGACGAAGTGAGAGTAAGTGATTCGATTAGTAATTATGATTGTTTAAATAGTAGTTTTAAATTATTGTTTTATTTTCGTAGAAAGTTTTAATTGTTGATGCTCGCAGCTATACATCTGCTGTGACAAATCGTGCCCGTGGTGGTGGTTGCGAGTGTATTGAATATTATCCTTGTGCAGAAATTGAATTCATGAATCTAGGCAACATTCATGTTATACGCAAAAGTTTTCATGCTTTACGACAGTTATGTGCCTCACCACCAGATGTACCAAAGTAAGTTCCGGAATATTTGTTAATATTTGTTTAATATAAATTCTTGTTATTAATTCCATAGTTGGTTGGGTCTATTGGAGAAGACAATGTGGCTACAGCATCTTTCTGGTCTTTTGGCAGCTTCTATGACAGTGTGTCATGCGATTGAAAAGAAAGGACGTCCAGTATTAGTGCACTGCTCGGATGGCTGGGATCGTACACCACAAATAGTGGCCACAGCACAATTGTGTTTGGATCCCTATTATCGTACTGTAGAGGTAAATCAGTTCGGGTAAAGATTAAAAAATTTTAAAACTATTTTGAATATTTTCCTTTTCTAGGGATTTCGTGTTTTAGTAGAACGCGAATGGCTTAGTTATGGCCACAAATTTGCCGATCGCTGCGGCCATGGACCGGGATCCGATGAACTCAATGAACGCTGCCCTGTATTTTTACAATGGCTGGACTTAGTTCATCAAATACACAAACAATTTCGCTGCAGTTTTGAGTTTAGCATGGGTTACTTGGTAAATTGTATATTTCTTTTTCTTATAAAGAAATTAAAATTACTTTTAAACAAATTTGTTTTTGTATTTTTTCTTATAAATAGATTAAATTGGCACAACATTCACATTCTGGTTTATTTGGCAATTTCTTATGCAATACTTTAAAAGAACGTTTGGAAAATTCTGTTTTTGAAAGAACCTTTTCGGTATGGTCATTCTTATCTGGTCCCATGTATCGTAATCCTTTATATAAACCAAACAAAGATAAAGTTTTATGGCCGGCACATAATGTACGAGATTTATCTTTGTGGACTGAAGTTTATTTGGGTAGTTTGGGTGGTAATCAACAGAATTGTATTGATTTTCCAGCGTATATAAATGAAAGTTTAATGGGTTCTATAAGTAAGTTGATAAAATAGAAGTTTTGGGAGTAAGTTTATAGTTGTTTTTTTTTTTAAAGGTTCCATGTCTAAGACAAGATCTTATGGTGATTTAATAACCGCTGGTTTTATACAGAATAGTATTTCAAGACGTTCTAGTGATCCAAATATGACTGTTGATCCAAAGTGAGTAAATAGTTTTTTTTTTTTAGAAATTTAGTACGAACTTAACATTAAACCCTTTTCAGTCTAACAATCGGTTCAAATTCTGAAAATAATTCTATAGCCGATTTGCAATCAGACGAACGTGAAGAATCACCCGATTTATTAGCGAATTTCATACACGATACGACAAGAAAACTAGAAAATCTCACAAACGAATTAAACAATCATGACAATGATGACTTTAAAATTGCATCAAAACACATTGAAATCAATCGAAAAGAGCCGTCAATTGGTTGCGAAACAACAGACAGTAGCAATGCAACAGAGGAATTGGATACTAGCAATTATACAAAGGAACTAAATGGCATCTCCAATACATCATCAGTAGTAAATGAAACAACAGACTGTAATTATACTACAAAACTGCAACGGTTAACAACACCACAACCACCCACAACAATTCACATAAGGCAAACAACTCCGACAACAAGTAAAAATTTAAAAGAGGTACCACATGACTTTCCTAAATCCTTAGAAAATGGTCATAATGGTATAGAACATAGTAGTAAAGGTATAACTATAGAAAAACATTCATCGTTAAGTTTAAATTTAATGCAAAGTGTAGAACTGGAAGGTAAAGTTAATAACAAACAAACTATTCTTTTAAATTAAATAAACTAATTTGCTTTTTTTCTAAAGAGCCTTTAAGTAGTAATCAGGAAACATCCTGCAATGGTGGTTCCACATCAACAAATGGTAACACAGATGCCACACAAAGTATGTGGCATGGTTCTGTTAATACCAGCACTGATACTCTGGTGCCTTTGGTGGAAACCAAATCACAAAATGGCAGTGCTACTATTACACCCCTGACTGCAAATGAATCAATCAGTACTGACTGCACAGATGCTGGCGAATGTTTACAGAAGCACTCCGATACCACAGCTGCCTCTACATCTACTTCTTCTTCAGTGAATACTCAAAAACAGCAAACAGCCGAACAATTTATTGCAGATAAATGTAAAATCGCTAGTGTTAGCACAAATTATAATATATTGCCAAAAGTACATACGTCAACGCCCAGTAGCAGTAACATTACTACAGTGAAACCAAATCAATTGTCCACCAATGGTAGCAGTCTTAGTGCTGCACCATCTATATCATCCCTAACGACGACATCAACAGCAGCATTTGCCGAAACAAGCAATAATACAATTCAAAATAATCTCACAAATACAAACAGCAATAATGACAATAAAATTGCATCCTTAACGCTGAACAGCGGCAGCGGTGGTGATAATGTAACAACAGCGTCTAACACAACCGTTGGCATGGAGGAGAGCATACTCATATTACCTGAACATCAAAAATTAGAAATTTCATTTAGTGGTAAGTGCGAAATGATTACCGCTAATGTAACTACCTCGTCAGGTTCCAATATGACTCCAAATCATTCATTATATTCAACAACAACTACAGCGTCAACAGCTGCATTGGATACACCAACAACCCTAAATGTGTCACCATTTGTATCTGCTGCCGCCACCACAACATCTTCAGCCGCTGCCACTACAGCCATGTCTAGCCAAAGACGGAGACGTACCTCTTCGTCGAATTCAAAACGTGATGCTTTTGGTGTCGCTGCAAAACAAATAAACAGCAGGTTTGTTCTCAATATAAATAGTTTTATAATGAATTCCTTTTAATCAAATAATGTTACTCTTAACAGTTATCTGTCCCGTTTTTCATTGCCTGGTGGTGTACGTTCGTTACCCATGACACCACCGGGTTTGACTGAACGACCACAAGTTACTATTTCCTGCCCCGATGGTCTCGCTCATGCTTTAAGCGAAGAAAACATAAGACTTCAACAAATTGTGCATGAACATAAGGTAACGCATACAAAAATGTATTAAAGAACAAACATTTATTCCTTTTTAATCATTAGTTAAGGGTTAAACATTAAGTAAACTATTTGTTTTAAAAACAACCACTATTCTTTATTTCTTAATTTTTAGTTACGCGAAGATGTATTACTACGTGAAATTCATGACATGCGAATGGCTCTCTTAAAGAAAATATGCCCCAATTGTAATAATGCCAATGCAAACGCAACCAATGATGAACAGGTGAATATACTAAACTCATAACATAAGCAAACCATAATTTAAAGCAAAAATAAAAAAATCAATATACATATGTACCTATAATGTACCTACAAGAAAAGTAAAACAATCAATTTAGGTAAAACTAATAAATAATTAATATTATACATTTACATTGTACATGTGTAGCTGTATATGTAAAATATAATAATTTTGATTATAAAATGACGATTTGTAGATTATTTTTATACATTATTTATTATATTATTTTATTATTAGTTTTCATTTGCTAATATTGTTTTAAATACGTTTTTTTTCTTTTGCACAAAATTTAGTAAATGTTACGATATATGTATTTTAGAAGTAGAAAAAGAAAGCTTTATCAGGTAAACTGATTCCAAAGTGAAAACCATATGTTCCTTACTTTATGCCTTTGTGTTGTTGTAACAGGTAAAATAATCTAGTTGGGGGTTCCACATCAATATCCAAGCCTAAAAATTGTGTTACTTCAACTGAATGTTGAACCCATTGGACAGGAAGAAGTGGGGTTGGTTAAGCAGTTGCTTATGTGATGCGTATCGTGGGGATCTTGACCCCACGATGATGCTGGACCTTCATCGTGTACCAAGACTGATCTATTGGATCATGTGCATAACTGCGTATGTTCTCCTCGTTTATACGAATGTCCTTCCTGACATGCCTCGTGAGCGTATCCAACTGTGTAATGTTAAAGTTGGGATGACTCCTTCGGTGACATCCCAGCAGGAACTCTTTAGTCTATATGACATAGTGTTCCTTGACCTCGTGTTGATGGTGTTTCGAGGAAATTTGTAAGCAGCCCGTTACAATACTTAGGGCAGCGTTTCGGCAGTTGAAAATGTTGAATGTTTTTCCACTGGGTATCTTCTGGGTCTTATCCAGAACACATCATCCACTCAACAAAACTATCTGTCTATGTATATGTTTGATGTAGTTACAAACCAACCTGAGGCGCGGAAGAACGAATAAATATTGCGAAATTCGCCTTTAATGAGATTTGCCAAGATTCGCCCGACATTATCTCTTCATACCGGTTGTTCCAACTTCTACATAAGTAGCTCAAAATGTGCTTCTATTATACAATATCTCTAATCCCAGTCGCTCTTGGCGCCATCAAGGAAGTTTGGATATCGAGCAGGTTTTTAATGACCGTCTAAGCAGCGCAATTCTGACTAACGTCTCAATTTCTCTTTGTTGGGAAAGGAGAATTAGGTATGTCGTAGTGATCATCTTTACAGATTAGCTCTAGCCATGCTAACTAGACTTTGATAAATTCGGATATTTCTCTCGTACATCCTGCAGCAGCTCAATGAACACTTACATATATCGCACTTTTTGGGCCAGAGATATTAACTTTATTAGGGATATACAACTCACTATCCATCTATACAAATGGATGAAGTGTCAACGATCCATACTGTCAAAAGGGGGTATAGATCATTTTAAAAGAGGACGTTGTCCTTAGAGTAAATATTTTGCCAGAGAGGTGTATAATGTTGTTTTGCACCAGCAAAACGTATAAAGTCGGATTTGCAGAGTTTATAATCTTTGGTCGTATAAAACATTTTCCAAAGAGGATGTTATATCCGTTGTCCTTACAGTCAACATTTTGCCAATGAGTAGAGTAGTAGTGTATTGATATCCTGTCCCAAAAATTGTGCTAAATCCTGTTGTTCCATTACATATCAGTTGTTCCAAGATTGCTCTAGTTTTCCACTGCAAACTTTCTGCTGTTTCTAAAACATTCAAGCGGTATCCCATGACCGCGCAATTGAATATAATAGCGTCGATCCTCTATTATAACTATGTATGTTTTCCCCTTAGACACGAAGGTTCTTCTTGGTTTCTCATATAGGGAGCATCCATATGTGTGATAGTAATGTTTTGTCAACATGGCGTTGTGTTCCTTGATTGGGAGAACCTTTGTTTCCTCGTGTAGCAGAGGTTATTTGCATGCAGCCCGTGATCATCCTTAGGGGAAAATTTTGCAAATCGTTTTATATGTTGCCAACAAGGTTTCTTTATCCATGTCCCAAATGCTGCCGGCTTGTGCTTGGAGGACTTTCTTTCTACTTCACAATTTGTGTGTGATGCAGTGTCATGAGCTTAGTAACTAAATATGCGGTCAAAGGAGACTACGGAAGTGATGTTTTTGCATCTTGGAAGTTACCACGATAACAACTCGAACAAAGTGCTTGTACATGGTCCGGCGAAGCCATGTGCGAATATTGCCACCTGCGTGTTCTTTGCAATTCAAAAAGGGGAGTGGGGAGACTCTCTAGCTCACCCTGGCTTTGAAATAGTACCACCGTGAAATAGGTTGCAAAGCAGGTGTTCGTAAAGCACATCGACTTCTGTCAAAGGAGATGCCCAACAATTTTCGAGTTGGATTTTGCTCTACTGTCTACGAAGCCAAGAGTTAGATTTACTTCCTTCGTCCTAGTGGTTAAGAGTGGTAATGAGGATTTCGATGATAACAGTGCAGTGAAGAACTGACGTATTTTGTTGAGATAAACATTCACCAGATCGCACTCTTCATCAACATTATGGTTCGTCGCCATGGTAGTGCACTCGTCCAAATAAGAGTGTTTAGTGAGATAGAATTTAAACAATAGCGGCTATAGAATATTTATCTCTAAACTCTACGAACGATTCGAAGTGCAAAAGCCTACTGTGTCGAAAATTCCATTAGAAACGTCCTTTGTATAAGCCTTGTGAGATCTTCATTGCAATGGTGGTGATGTGGTGGTGTTGTTGAGGAATGAGCCACGAGAGCCTTCGTTTGTGCATTTGTCGCGTCGTTCACAGATTTTATAATTGTGAGGAGTTTACACTTTGTACAGGAATCGGGTATTACACAGCTCATTGAAAAGTTTTCAGGTACTCAATTCCCTACTCACCAAGATGTTTATACATCAGCAAGGATATTGCGTCGGGACCAATCGCCTTAGATGATTTGAAGTTGTCGATGTCAACCTGTAATATTAGTAAGGGTATATATAGGGTGTGAGTCTAAGTTTAGAAGGTTGTGGAGTTTGCGAACAAGTTATTAAAAAGATTCTCTAATTGTTCTCCATAGTTGAGTGTTTATCATAAGTTGTTATTTTCATTTCCTTAAAGATTGTGAAACGTATTGATACATTGATGCATAAATATTATTTGAAATACTTTTTATTTAAAATCACTTTGGAATCAGTTAGTTTTTTTTTTTTTTTTTTTTTTTTGTTTTAGAAGTCTCTTTTAGTTTCTTCTTTATTTTTTTTTCGTTTTGTATTATAATAATAAACATAATAATCAACAATAAACAGACAAATCAACATGACTTTTCAACAACATGTTGCCATCAACACAGTAGACAAAGATTTCATCATCATTCAAATCATATGTATCGTTATTGTTGTCAATATCATAGAAAACGACGTCAACGATATTGCAGTCAACGATCATATGATCATGAAACCGATAATGATAACGACGATGACGACCTTAATAATGATGGTGATGATGATTATGCCGATAGTGATGATAATAGTTCGGTATCTGCGGTTAGTTGTCATGTAAAGTTATTTATTTGTTTTTCTTTTATTTCTTTTTTTTTCCACATTGTGTTTCTTTTTCTTTTGCTTTTAAATGGTAAAATAAGTGTTTATGGAAAATTTATTGGTGTAAAAGTAAACGATTCGATTTCTAAATTATATTGAAATATACGGCTTGTTGTTGGAAAATTGTGACAAAAAAACTCATTAGTAAGATTGTTGTAATTTTACACCAATAATTTTGTTTATTTTTTTTAGTTTATAAAGAAAGCTTTCTTGTAACTACTTTATTAGTTAATAAATAATATGGCTTTATAAGTTTTATTTATTTAAGAATACTTTCCAATTGTCAATAACAGCATGAAATCGTCTTAAATTAACTTAAACTATGTTTTTAATGCAAGTTAAATGAACAAAAAAACTTCTGTTTTATTGTTTTTTTATTTATAGTGGCTTAAACTAAAATGCAAGTTATCTAAACTCATAATTTTTTACTTTCTTATATTTGCTTTTTTATTATAAAATAAAACACATCGTATAGTGTTCTGCGCTGGATAATGTTGAAAATGCTTCAATTTGCTCTTGGGAAGCTGTTGAAGATCGCAGTACTAGCGGTCCCTCGTCCTGCACTACTACTAGTTCCTCCATACAACCAAATGCTACAAGTGTTTTATGGGTGCCCGATCATGCCGTTTCACGTTGCACCAGTTGTCAAACTGAATTTTGGCTCGGCCGAAGAAAACATCATTGCCGGTGCGCATTATAATTTTATTTTTCTGTTTTTTTTTTGTTTGTTTTTCAATTATTGTTATTATAATTATCAATTAATATTAATCTATTCATTATTATTATTTGCGTTTAATGTTTCTTGTTGTTTCTTTTTTATTATTATTGTTTTCTTTTTTTATATAATCTATGTAACTAACCGTTCTAACTTTAATTTTTCCAATAATTAACCGTAGATTAGTTTTATTTTCTTTTTTCTTTTCCATTTACATTTCTTTACATTATTACATTCTTTTTATAAATATGTTTGTGTTCTTATTAGTTTTGTAACAAAATATATTACATACTTTATGTTTACTACCAAGTAGTATGTAGAGTGTAATCTGAAATGCAAAACCAAAATTATGAAAAAAAATTTAATACAATTTCTTGATTTGAATTTATTTGGCAACTAAAAGTTTGTTTACATAGTTTAAGATTGTTACGTAAAAGAATTGGAACCATTCGAATCATACGAATTACTACTCTCGAACGTTAGAATTTAGATTTATTGATATTTTTGTCCGTTCGAACATTAGGTTAGGTTAAGAAGGCTTATGCACCACTCGGAGACCATAAGGTTCATTGGGAGTTCCTTCGTAGGGTGTGAAGATCCAAAAATAGAGGAATAAAACGCTAAAAATAACAAAAAAAAAAAAAACATAAGTAAAGTGGAGAGAGGAATGAAGCTAGGTCGATTCCTAAGGGAAGCCATCTGAATGTTTTTGTTGTTGTAGAAGTTCGACTGTAGCCAATAGTTCTTTCCTGGGGAAAGTGTGGTCATTGGCATCTCCTTCACAGCTGCCTGTCACGAAAGTTTGGTTTCCCCTAATCTCATCAGTAGGAGAGGCTTTCTCTGTGATTTGACAGTGACCAATATCATGCTGCTCGTCAGCGAGAAGAACCAACTTCTTAAAAGCACCGGTTTCACCGAAGCAGTTGTCAGAAGATCATTCATATTCAGCTCAATCAGTACCTGTCCTTCAAGGTTCATGTCACCCTCCCTTGTGACACCCTATCACCGACCATGACTTTCGCATTATCTCTACCGTCCTGCGCTTTGCTTTTTGTTTTTATTTATTCACCCAATTGTGTTCCCATGAGTTTGCACATTCATGCGGAGTGAAGGTATGCGTGGACTATCGTAGAAGAGTTTTATTCATGACGCTAAGAGGAACTTTTAACGACTCGTTTTTTAAGCACTCTCAAACCAATCAGGTGGTCCCCGACACTGCTTCCAACCAGTCTTTACACTACTTCCAACCAACTTGATCTTAAAAGTGCCACTACACTAACCTTGCGCGGGCTATGTCTTCATATAAAGATTAAAACGACACAATCTTTCTTAATATCTTGACAAGATGAGCAACCTTTAGTTATACTCTTCTTTATAGCCATGACAATGCCGCCGCAATTGCTACCCTTGGCGAATGTTAAGACTCGTTTGTTCCATTAAAATTTTAATACAATTAATCATCTCCAAAGATAATGAGTTTAAGACAACAAGGCTAGTAAATAGGGCCGAATAAACTTCTAACCGAGTCTCTTATTGGCCTTCAAAGGTAGACTAGTAAGAGGAAAGTTTCTCAAAGCGAGTAGTTCTCAATATCGGTGGCATATCGGCAGCATTAAGAAAACCAAATCAGCTCTTTATATCGACTTACATATAAGGTAATTGATAAGCATGGAAAGTCTGAATTTCAGGTCTTAGTTGAAGAACAACTCGCGCATTGTCGTCGTTATCTCTTAAAGACGATCAGGCCGATAACAGTGTAATGTATTATTTCGTATAACTGTTCCAAGTTATGCGTTGTCTGCAACAATAACCTTTATTCTACATTTCAATTCGAATCTAAAATTTTCTCCGTTTGGCAACCTTGGTATTCTGCATTTTGATTCGATGCTCCGTCGCTAAAATAACAACTTACAAATACATAGTTACGATCGTAATGGAGAATACACACAATCGTAAAGCATTGAAATAAAATGGAATTGCTACTTCTTATTCTTACGATTCCGTTTTTTGTAGGAAAACCAATTTTCGATCGTAGCCTAACTGTATTCGTTTTACTTCAAAGTGAGGTTATGTTTTGGCTGGTGAGTACCAGTTCAACTTTAATGTAAATGTTCGAAGTTTCCATCATTCTATATGAAGATATTGGTCGACTGAAGAAGGATGATTCTTAAAATATTTTGAAAAAACTTTAACTTATATACGAAAAATGTTTAAAATAATTTTAAAATCACGAGGATTTCAAAAAATTTAGTTTTTTAGTTTTATTTGAGGTTAATATCTTCAAATTTCGAACTTATAAAAGTAATTTTTTAAAGCTTAAATACTTTGTTATTAATAAAAGTTTTAAAATAAATAAGAAGTAGACACTCACACATGTACTGATTTAAAAAAATGCATTCTCTTTAACTTTTTCATCTTGTTTATCGTCTTTTTCACTTATGATTTGCTATGCTTACAATTAGTTTTATTTCACAAATTTGCACCATTTAAAAAAATCATCAAAGTTGGATAAAACTCAAACAATAATTTTGTTTTTTTTTTTTCCTTTTATTTTCTATAAAAAATGTTTTCTTTTCTTTATTGCACCAAATACAGATCATGTGGTCAAATATTTTGTGCTGATTGCTCAGAATTCTGGGCACCATTGCCAGATATCAAACTATTTAGTCCAGCGAGATTATGTGGACCATGTTATCATTCGGTAACAACACGCATGCAGCAAGTAAATAATCAATTGCAAAACAGTACGCTAATGCACTTGCAACAGAGTGCCACAAAACCAGCAGCAACATCAAAAGCCTGAAATGATACAATGACAAAGGCGGCAGCAGCAGCAGCAGCAGCAGTAGAAGAAATGGAAACAGAGATAGCAGCAGCATCGTCATCATTATTGTTATGCCAACAAAATACAAAAACAACAAACACAACTATTACCACTACTGCATAATTACATAAATAATTATTATTATTATTATTATTTTGGATTTATGCAAATTATGTATGTATTTATAATATGTTAATTAATTAATTAATTGTTTTTAAAATGAAAATACATTTAATGTAAAGAAAGAAAAAACATTATTAATTAACAACTAAAAAGTTAACAACTGACTGACAAACATACAAAACAAAAACAAACAAACCGACCCAAAAACACTCTATATCATTATGGACTAGATTTCCAGTAGAAACAACATCTGCTAGCAAAGCTACACAAAGCGAACTTCAAACAAAATGCTACCGGGAAAGAATACTAAGGAGCCAGAGTAAGAGCAATTACAACTGAGCCACAAGCCTTAAACAAATTCACATTTTAGCTTAATTATTTTACGTTTATTAGCTCAAAATTTAAATTTTTATTTTGTTTTTCTAAATTATATTTTATTTTAATTTTATTAATATTAAGCTTAAATATTAAGCTTATTAATATTAAGCTTAAATATGCTATTTTTATATGTATTTTGAATTGAATCATTGGCAACTTTAAACATAAGGAGCGGTTTTCAATCAGTTATTTTTAGATACACAACACGAATATTAACGAAATTTACAAAAAAAGGTTATTGCGTTTCTAGAAAAAAGAAACAATTTATAGTTTTTTAGTTTTTAATAAAGATATATCGTGAGTGTCGACCAATGAAAGAAAGATTACGATGTCATCTATACATCTCTTTTCAGAGTAGCATGAATAATGAAGGTTTTTTTTAGGAACAAAGTTTGTACAACTACAATTGAAACCCATTTTTTTGGCACATTTTATGAATTTAATTCAGGATGATAATCAAAATGCCGATTCTGAAACATGCTTATTGATATGAATAAAAAACACTTACGTTTTTACTTACGTTTCATAAGCATCATATCTCAAAGCGACGAAGTCAATTATACGCTGAAAAGAAATTCAATGCTTTTGGACCTGCTGTAGAAATAAGATCTATATATAGCTACGGTCTAGCAGACACTTTCTGTTTAAGATTTAATGAAATTTTAACTAGATTTTGTCGGTTCTAGTATTCTGCATTTGGGTGAAATGTTGCCGAACGTCTATAACGTCAATTCTATAAAGGTATAGGAATTGATCATGGTATTTTAAAAGGAAACAACTTTAGAACAAACCTAAAACCTCATCTCTCTTACGTGAACTGTTTTCGGCCTGAGTCATTTCAATTCATACGATAATAGCGATATTTTAGAATATCATTAATTGAATACTTTTCGGACTTGAGTTCGAGTCTCATTTAGAATGTTTTGTTTTAATTTAACTCAAGTGAATTTATTATTTATACTAAAATTCTATATACTATGTTCACACGACAAAATTATTGGTAATCCACCTGCTTATTCGTTATTAAATACCCAATTATGAACCGCCTAACAAAATTTCAAATGCGAATTATTCGATGTTTGAAATACCTTACGAATTGCAAACGAATGAGTGACTTCTCGAGTTTTTACTGAACATTTGTCATAATCAGCTGATTTGTTTAAATTTGTGGGAAGACATAAAAAATAAACATTATGCATTTCGATTACGTTTTCACATACAGTTACGCAACGATCGAAAACAGTTCCAACAACAGAATTGTAAGATTCCGATTCTGAGTAATCTGCAATACGATTGTAACATTTTTGTAACAGCTTGATTACAATTAGAACCGCTGTCGACAAACCACATAAAAAGGTGTAGCGACGAATTATAACTAAGTGACAGGTTGACAGATCACATTTTTGTTGTTGTTTTTTTAGTGAAATGCCGAATATCAAAAATGTTGCAAAACAAAAAAAATTCCAATCGAATTAAAATACGGAAAAGTGGAATACGCAAGAATGCCAACAAACACCAAAGCAATCAATGAAAAAACAACATGACGATGAACTGGCATCTCAAATTACGAAAGTCTCGTGAAAACGGGTTAATTCGAAATACTAATTAAAAGCGTAAACTACATAATTTAATTTCGCTTGAGAAAAAATATAGTACAACCACACTCTTGGTGAATAATGGCAAACAATCGATTCCTTCTAACTTGAAATAAACATTTGAATTTTTAGGTGAACATTCCTGTTCATTCACAGTAGCTGATTTTGCTCAGCAGTGGGATTTTATTCATGTATAAAAATGGCGAACAAATGAAGAAAAAAAAAAACACATTTCAGGTGAAATTTTGATTCGCAAATGCTTTATGAGAATATAATAGACATACGGAGTGTGTGTGTCCCAAAGCAAGTGAAATCAAAACGTTTAATTTCACTATTTGCCCCTAAAAGATGGATGAAGCCATTAACAATTCATCTAAGAATTACCAATCCTTTGTAAATGATATGGAAACTTCCTTAACTCGTATCGTATTCGTGATCAAGTGAAATTTATTAAACTTTTTATGTGCAAGGAATATGAATTACAAAAGGAATCTATTGTTTGAAAAAGATAAGCGGATGTATTTCAGCTAAATCCCAAGACGGTTGGAATCTCAATTCGCCTTTAAAGCGACTTGAGTCGTCAAAGATTGTGAACTCGATGAGAACTATATTAACCGAAAGTTTTTTTCGTTAGGAAAGTTATAACAACGAATTACATACCATACGATATTACTCCGAAATCAGAAGCTAAAGAATGATCAATCAAAGCATCGTATTTAGAGCCAAAGAACTGGTTACTGGGAAACTCAGATTTTAATTTAATTTTTAACATTCTTAACACTTCAAAATAGACCCAAAGTGCTAGCTTCTTGAAAACTATTTACAAGTAATTTAGAATCTCAACTATATTCTTGTTGTAGCGACACTTGTAAAGATGGTGTTACTAAGTTGACAACTCTTGGTCATTGTTCGTTAAACTCTGAGTCGTTTCGTTTGCGAAGAAAAGATTGTCGTGGGAACGTTCACAACTATGTTCCTCAGAATGGGCTGTTAAAAACCCTGATTCTTATTGCACATTTTCTAAAATTACACAGGCCAACACATGTTTAATCCAGAGACCACAGTAGATATACTTTTATACGTTTACATTTATAACATCAGGATTCCAGATATCGTGTCCTAAAGTTTGAAATAACTCCGTTTTTGTGCATATTTGAGACGCTATAACAGCACGAAGACATCTTTGTTTATAAAATTTGTTATGTCATCTGAACGTCTAACTTTATGACACAATTCAGTCAGATTCGGGTATTCTTTGGTCTATGGGTTTCGACTTTTTTTAAAATTTTGTTGGCCTGTGTTATTAATACGTAAATAATTCTAAAACTTTTCCTGAGAAATGTGGATTTCCGATCCGGAAACGATCCGACTCCAACTCGACTAAAGGTTATCTACTCAGCGATGGCTGTATCAAAGGGATCAATTTGGAACCAAATAATGTTGTACTCAGTTGTACGACATGAAGTTGTATCAACCGAAAGTTTTTTCCCGGAAAAGAACTATCGGCCACAGTCGAACTGTTATAACAACATAACGAAATGACAGATCAGACAAAACTGAACCGTTTGTATTTTATAGAAATTTTATTTATTAGAACTTTGGCGTTGAAAACTTTCATTACAAAATTGTTAAGCTCGTTGTAATTTATGTTACAAAATGGATTGTGTTTGCTTAAAACTGAAAATATCAAATAAATTATTCTATCAAAGGTAGAAGAAGTATCCAATGGCTGCTTTCGTTATATTGTGGTTTCAAACCACAACATTTTTGATAAGATTATTTATAGAAGATTATAGACTTAAAAACTAAATATATATACATACATGTTAAAAGCTCTTACATCTCTTACACATCACCAAAACCTTATAATTTTTAGAGCTGCACGATAAACTAAAACAAAAAAAAACGATTTATTAAAAATTTTGTGGATTTTTTTTAAATAATAAATAATTAAATAAAATTTTGCTGTTTTCAAAACATTTACAATTAAAATTTGTATAATTTATTTACTTTTTTGTTACAATAATGTACACAAAACACACATACATAAACATAAATTAATTGTAAATTAATAAACTAAATATAATTTCTCCATATTTTGAATCCTTTGTAATTAAAGAAGAAAAACAAAACTAATTGTTTATTAAATGTGTATTTGAAGAAAAATAAAATAAAAAGAAATATTCTATTGTCAGGTTCTATTAATAAGTTGATTTAATTATAATTATCTAACTAACTACCTAACTACAAACATATACATAAACATTATTAATAATTTCAATTATAATTTTTCCAATGTAAATGTTTTTATTTCTATAAATTTATACTTTTTATTTATGTTTATTATTACATATATTTTTAACAAAATTTCTATCACCAAGTTGATTATCGCTCAACGAAAATGTATTGTTTAAATGTAATCTGTATAAAAATTTGGAAGCTATTTTACAATTTTATTAAATTATACATATTTGCTATTTTGGTTGTCTTGAAAATGTTCCAAATTCTTTCCCTGTTGTATTGAATAATTTTTGCAATGGTCTTTTGTGATAATTTATTCTTTAAACTTATATCTTGATTCTTTTATTATTATATTTATATTTGGTTTTTACTTTAATTTACTCTATATTGTTATTGAATAATTTGTTTTTAATTTTTATTTTCTAACAATAATTTAGTTGCTAAATTAATAAACAAACAAACAAACAAACAAAAAAAAAAACTCTAAATAAATCTTGTTGCTTGAAAAAGAAATGAAAATATATCTTAGTAAAAATAAAGAACTTTTCAAAATTCTGCCAAAAAATTACATCAATATATTTTGTTTTATTTATTGTTAATCCTTTATATAGTGCAAGATAATTGGTTATTATCGACAGTTTTAATAACCGAATGCTTTTAACACAGAAAAGATTATCAGCAACAAATCCTCTGCTGATCTTTAAAGTTTATTTCATACTTATCGTTTGTATGTCAACCGAACTTCAGTTGTGTATTTGCTAGCATACAAAGGTTAGGTTTTAGCAGGTGCCAATCTAGCATTACTTGGGTCCAAGTTGTAAGAATTCCTGTAAGCCAAAAAGATAAGAGAAATAGAAAAGACAGAAAGAAAAGAGAGATAAGAAATGAAGAACGTTTCGTTAAGTAGAGACGTAGTATTAAGATTACGTTCAGCCTGGTGCAATGACTCGTTCTAGATCGTTGAAGTAGGTTGACCATAGAGTTCAGTTTCGAGCCATTTCCAAGGCTGAACAGTTACAGAGAAGATGGGCTACCGTCTCATCTTCAATCTGGCAACTTCTGCAGATGTCATTATATGGAAGACCAATGTGCTTGACATGGTTACCAACATTGCAGTGACCAGTAATGACCTAGTTGTAGTCTATGAAGAACAAGAAGATAGATAGTTCCACTTAGGTCCATATAAGTCCACAATGCTCTAGCGATCGAGCAAGTGTACTCACTCGACCAACCGTCCTGAGTATTGTTAAAATACAAGTCTTAACCCTTTCACGCACAAAAAAAAACCGCTAAACTTTTTATGGATATGACTTTACCACACACTTTATATTGACGTATATTGATCATTTTTGATGAAAAATTAAAAAAGTGTTTTCGAAGGATATCGCAGGATATTATCCTTTTTAGCGTGTAGTAACATCAAATTCTAATAAATAACTTATTTTTCTTTGGAAATAACCATTTACTGTAGCTGTGCACTCAACACCGGTGTCCCGTACACGTGAAAGAGTTAATGCAGTTAGTGAAACTGATCACAGAACTAATCTATTTCCAATTCACTTAGCGTAGTTAATGTGCAAAGAAGGAGTAGTTGTAACAATACCAAAGAAAGGCGATCTATCTCAATGTTAAAATATGCCTCTCCAGTTAAATGTCATCTGTAATTTTATGTCATTATTAATACTTGGTAGGATCAGTCGGGTTATTGAGCCCATGTTACATAAGGAACAAGCTGGTTTTAGACCGAACCGTTCATGTGTGTATCACATTAACACACTGCGCATAATTATGGATCAATCCATTGAGCACAACTCACAGCTATATCTTCTCTTTATATATTTCGAACGAGCCTTCGACACGGTATCCATAGTGCGCACTCTATGAAGGGAATACCGGAGAAAATAATAAATCTAATCAAAGAGTTATACACAGATTCAAAGTCCGTAGTCCGTTTTAATATACATAAGAGTCAACCTATCCAGACTACCTGTGGCATAAAACAGGGCTGTATTCTGTCACCTACACTTTTCCTGATTCTACTTGATTTGTGGTATTCGCTGGAATTTTAATGAATATGTCAACGATAAAAATTATGCGGATGATTTATGCTTATTGGCCCATCGTTTCTCCGATATCGAGGATAAACTTTAAAAACTCGCTGTAACGCCGTAGCAGTGGGTTTGAAAATTAATATCGGAAAGACCAAAATAATGTGTATCGGTTCAACGAACACATCTCCCCTCACATTACATAATGAGGTTATCGAGGACATTGAATCCTTTTGTTACTTCGGATGTATTCTGAGCAAAGATAGGGACTCTGAGAACGATATAAATAATCGGATAAAAAAGGCGAGGGTGGCATTCAAGAGTTTGTATAAGGTATGGCATTCTAGACATATAACTAGAAGGACGAAAATACGCCTAATCAACTGTAGTGTCTTATCGATTCTGCTATCAAATGGTCAGACTACAAACATTCATTAATCGTTGCCTCCGGCATATAAACCGAATATTCTGGCCCAAATGGGTGACAAACGAACAGCTACTAGCGATCTCGAACATGTCTCATGTTGCTACGGAGATACTTAGACGCAAATGGACTTGGATAGGCCACATACTTCCTAGACCAATAAATGCCATCGCAAAAAAGTACATAAGTCTTGGAACCAGATCAAAGCACTTGCAGCTGATCATGTAAATTGGAGAGGATTTGTTTGTGCCCTATGTTCTACTATATGAACTTTTTATTAATTATTCTACTATTTTCTACATAATTATTATGAATAAAGGCATTAATAATAATAGCGTGGTTCCAACTGTTCCCAATATTATTGCCATATGTTGTCCAGTGTCTTTTGTTCCATATAAGGGAACTGTTTGAATGTCTCACCATCTCATTGAGAGACGTCCGTCATTCATGGACAAGTCTAGATTTGAAAAATACTCCAATAAGGTATTTAATAGCAGCCTGACTATCAGTATTAATTCTGATATCTCTGTTAGATATTCAATAGTATCTTAGGCAATTTGATGCTTGATATTTCAGATTGGAGGATACTGCATTCATCATTGTGTCTAAAAGAGATTTTAGTGCCAAGTTTTTCAATGAAGATTCCACAACCAACTTCTTTAAATGCCTTGGATCCATCTGTATACACACGGAAACAATTATATAACGAATGAAGGGATTCTTAAGACTGTACAGGAATACATGTTCATACGTAGTCTAGTACATGTTATGTTTAAAATAATAAGAAACAAAGCCTTTTGAAAATCAAATCACATTTCACCATATCCCCATATAATGAACTCATCTGTAAACAACGCCCATTAAGGCAGAGAGAAGGAGAAGAGTATCAATAGACTTAGATATCCTCTTGAACGATAAAAATGATATAAATAGAAAAAATCAGATGCCCAAAACATCAATAGTTTCTGATTCCTATTGATGAAGCAACATGATCTCTCAGCAACAGAGTAGGAGAAAGAACGGAATCTTGCTGTACCCCTAATTATATCTTGAAGTCGTTGGATGAAATCGCATCAGTAA